GAATGCAGGTGGAGAGGGCAACCTGGGAAGAAATGTTCACAATTAGGATGCCTTTAAAAGGTAGGGCCAACAGTCCTTTAGGATGGGTGGGATGTGTGTGCAAGAGAGAGAGAGAGTATCAGAGAAGACTCCAAGATTGTTGGCCTGAGCTAATGGGTAAGTCGTAGTGCAGTTTATTGACGTGGAGACAACTGAGAAAGAAGCCAGTTTCAGGGGAAGATACCAAGTCTGATTTTGGACTTGGAATCTGAAATACTCAAGTGAAGGAGTTGAGTGATCATCCTGATACAGGAGTCTGGAACTCAAGGGAGATCCCAGTTGGAGGTGGACATTTATATCATGAGTCCACAGCCCACCTGCCAGAAAGTAGGGCGAAGGAATGTCAGATTCTCTTCACCTTCACTGGTAGAAGGTGGGACCTAACCTCTGCCTATCTGGGGCGTTCTCCTGAATAAGGAAAAGCATCCAGATGCCGGTGTGCAAAGCAAATCTTTAAATTCCATAGCAAAGATTTTCACTAACTTCTTTGGATTTCCAGGGTCTTTGATAACTTCCTGTATTACAGAGCTTAGGAGAATGTCATAATATGGTTGGTTCCCATCCCTCCATGGCTAAGCTCAGTTTCTGGAAGCCATGGGCAATGTTTTATTCACCTTTGTATCCCCAGTGCCTGCCGCGTGGCAGCTGCCCCATAACTATGTGTGGTTATTAGATGAATGAACGAATGACATACGAATGAAAACGTGATCCCCAGCAGCCAGGAGAATTGGGGCAGTTTGGAGGGCTCCTCTAAGTAGGTTTCCCTCACGTGGGGTTCAGTGTTTCTGAATTCCAAGCCATCCCTCATCTGAAGGACCCTGCACTGCAGTGTGTACCATATGGTGAGAAAACACTGCATCTGGGCTTGGAACGGCTCGTTAACAGTATCTGGGGTGCTCAGAGCAGCCGTGACATCAGCGTCAACACACAGTCCTGAAGCGAGAATCATCCTGCAAGATCACACAGCT